GAGCTTTCACACTGGATTAGAACCAAGTGGACAATAAAAATTTTAAGGAAGACATCAAGTATCTAAAGCTCAAAACATAGCTGCTGGAATTTCGATAAATTTAGCTGGCATTATTTAACTGATGGCCTACAAATACTATGAAACTAGCTTTGCATTTTATTATCATTATGTACATACTTAATGTATTATCAGTCCTGAATATTCATTGGAAGGACTGATGCTGAAGCTCAAACTTCAGTATTTCGGCCATTTGATGCAAAGAACTGACTGGAAAAGACTCTGATGCTGGGAAAGATTAAGGCAGGAGGAGAAGAGAAGGACAGAGGATGAGATGGTTGGATGGCAACACCGACTCGATAGACATGAGTTGAGTAAGCTCCAGGAGTTGGTGATGGACAGGGAAGCCTGGCGTGCTGCAGTCCATGGGGTCAAAGAGTCGGACACGACTGAGCGACTGAACTGAACTGAACCAATAAGATTCAGTGTGTGCCTGTACTCTCTTTTCGCTTCTTTGTTCTCTTTCATAGAAACGTGATTATTCATAGCAGTAGTTATTTTCAGACTGCAATAATAGCTGGTCTGTCAAGGTGACCAATCAACTAGGTGCATATTCTGACATCTCTTATGTTGCAGTAAGTCTATTCTGCTTGTTACCTGCTAGAGTTTCAATGCCCTCAGAGCTGCTGGGCTGATACCCAGCACTGCTGGTGCAGATAGAACAGGGAGGGCCTTCCCAGAGACCTCAGGAGACCTCGAAAATGACTGAAAAGCAGGCTTATGTTTCAATGTCTACTTAGCCAACCAATATAACTCAAGTCTGACACGCATTTATTTCTAAAAGACATACCAAATTTCAAACACAAGGATCATTTAGCTGGTTCTGAGGCTAATCACAATGAAGCAAATTTTATTATTGTTGTTGCCTGGTATTAGGGACTTTCACTCTCAACAAGAGCGTAATCAAAAATTGTGTATGTTCAGATCATTTTTACAAAACAATTCTGCTGAACTGATAAGAATGCACATTGGAGAATTTCACTGTAAGGAAACAAGACATTCTTTGTAAATAACCAAAACAAACAGCTAGGAATGTGTGATTCTGAATGAAGAAAAAAAAAAAGACGGCTATAATTAGCAGATTTTGTGCATCCTGGTGCTAATAAGTATTAAAAGCCATTAATGACTCTTAATAGGTTAAAGTCTTCTGCACCTATAATTTGCTTGATGAGAATCTTTTACATTAAAAAAAAAAAGAACAAGCATTAGGTTTGTACTAGCCAAATAGTCATCATTCACAGAAGTCAAGGTGCAATTTTTTTGAAGTTCACTAATCACAGAATTTTCATGCTGGCAGGACTCTTCCCTGTCTATCTACCTGAACCTCCCAATGTTACAGATGAGGAAACTGAGAATCAAAGTGACTTGTTCCCAGATAGAAAGATTAGCCAGCAAGCAGACCTTAACTCGGCTATACTGCTCCGAACACGAGAGCTCCTGCCAAGATAAACCACCATGTTCCAAGATGCCTTTCTGAAAAGGATGCCAACAATGAGTTGATTGTGATTACAAGCCTGCTTTGAAATACCTTTGGCTTTGCTTTCTACTTAACAAGCACAGCTGTCCTTACCACCTGCATAGAACAGATAACTGAGGGGTAAATGAGAAGACCACGGGCTTAATGCAATCGGTCGGCATGACGTCCTTGTGCAGACAGAGGAGGAAGCGTGGTTTTCCATCAAAGAGTCGGCTGCCTACGACTGAGATGGAAGCAAAGCTTTCGGTCTCCTACTAAGGATCTCTCCATGTTGCTCAAGAGGGTCCGTGTGTCAGACCCACAGTTGTGACACACGAAGGCGTCCAGGGAAGCCTTGCTGAAGTAAGCAAGGCCGAGTCACATCCACTGTGGATCTTCTCAGAAAGAAAAGGGAAAAGAGCGGGTCATTTCCCTGGCATGTCTAAAAAATTTGGAGTCCTGAGTCAAAAAGGTTTGAAACACTGTACTAGGTAATTTGATGCTTTGCTGATAAGGCTGATTAGGGAAAAGGGGGTAGAACGAGTCTATAAAGAAAATTAAAAAGAGTTTGTCGAGTATTCACTGAAGTTTATGTTACAGCCTTAAAAGCTCTTCACAAGTTAGGAAAACAGGCCATGTTACAGCTACATGAGTTGAGGTGAGGTGATGTGGACAAGGTTCCCCAGCCTCTGAGGGCAGAGCTGGAGTTCAAACCCAGGTCCCGTCCTCCCCACCCGCGTCTCAGCCCACAGCTTCCCAAGGTCAGGCTTAGGGACAGTGAGTGTGGTCCATCAGAGTCGGCCTCTCAGCTCTCGTAGTTCTCCGTTCCACGGTCTCAGGGTCTCAAGGTCGTGAACGGAACTGACACAAGACGGAAGATGCGGTATCAGCCAACAGTGAACGAACTTAGTCCTTTAAGACGGGCAGCCAGGAAGCGCTAACCCTCTGGGGATCCTGCTCCTCGGCAACTCCCAGGCCTCTCACTGTCGTAGAGGCACACACGTGCCAGAGACTGTGAGTGACAGTTAAACCGAAGCCGGAAAAAGACTGAGAGGAGGAAAGCTTTCCTGGTTAAACACCAGGGTAACCTGGAATCCTCTGGACCTCCCAGGGTCAAGCGGGCGTGTCCCCGACAGCACACTCCGCAGCCACCTCGGCTGTGGGAAATCTGAGCCAGGACGTCTCCCTCTGCAGATTCAGAGCAAGCCCCTGGCTTCCCCAAGATCGCCACTCGGGCTGTGCTCTGCTCAGGACCCTGTGCTTACACTGGCATGACCTGCCGTGATCTTATCTACCCAGGAATCAGACAGCAAGTGAGAGAGACTGATGGAAGGCCAGGATAAGCATCCTAACATTTATTTCATTCAAACCAGTAAGAACTTCCAGAGACCGCACTGAGCCTGCTGCTGCGGGTGGTGACAATGCAGATGGTGGTGAGGGAAAGAAACACAGCAGTAGCTGTCACATCCTGAAAGCCTCCCAGTTAAACTCACTCGATCCTCCCCAAAACCATAAGGAGGTAACTCTTACTATTATCTAGATTTTTGTAACAATAACACACACACACAAAAAAGAAGGCACACAGTGGTCAAGAAACTTCTCCAGGATCACAGCTAGTAAATGGTGGGCTCAAACCCAGACGGTCTGGCTTCCGGGTCTCTGCTACACCACACTGCACTCTCGACAGGAGTGGGAAGGGATGTAAGTAAGACTGTCCCCGCACCCAAAGCCTACAGTTTAATTGGGAAGACAACAGATAAACCTCCAACGGGCACACAGACCAACCTAGGTTTCAGGGGAGGCTCCTGGCAGGAGATGCTTAGTCTGCTGAGTCTCAGTTCGCTTCAGCCGCTCAGTCGTGTCCGACTCTTTGAGACCCCATGGACTGCAACACACCAGGCCTCCCTGTCCATTGCCAACGCCTGGAGTTTACTCAAACTCACGTCCATTGAGTCGGTGATGCCCTCCAACCATCTCATCCTCTGTCGTCCCTTCTCCTCCCGCCCTCAATCTTTCCCAGCATCAGGGTCTTTTCAAGAGTTAGTTCTTCCCATCAGGTGGCCAAAGTATTGGAGTTTCAGCTTCAGCATCAGTCCTTCCAATGAATATTCAGTCTGATGAATATGCTGAGTCTAGAGAGAAGCTAAGCAGAGGGAGATGGGGACACAGGGCATGTTCCCAGAGAGGAGGTGTAAGTTTCATTAAGGACTGCCTGTGAAAAGACTGTGGGACTGGGAGCCCATCACCAGGGCTGTGCATGCACATCTGTAAATAACTGTGTGTGGTTTTGGGGGTGAGGGAGGAAGTGGGTGGGGGGAGACTGAAACAGGAGGTGCAGTGGTGCACAGGATGCAGCTCCTGCAGCACCCAGCATGGCATGCTGAGGGCTGGCGGAGTCTGTCCTGGAAGAAATGGGAGGCTCGGGGAGGGTCTGAATGGGGACTCAGGGGACTAGACCTGATCAGAGGCGGGTGAACCCAGAGTCAGGCTGAGCAGATAAGGAGCGGGCAGGAAGTGCTCTTTGGTGAGAGGACAGTGGCCTCGACTAAGAGGTGGAGGAAGTGGAGGGGTATGGAGAACGAAGCAGCATCAGTACCCAGGGACTGGCCACCTGCCGGGACTGAGGGAGAGAGAGGACTGGTGTCTTCCCTCCACCAAGACCCCAAATGCCAGCACAGGAGTGGGTCTCAGGTATGGGTAGGCGTCCACTGCCATCTAAGTTTCTGAGGAAACACTAACAAAGAACTCTGAATTCTTCCTTTATAGTACTGTTAACAGTAATAAGGGTTGCTCCGTCTTTCTAACCTATGAGTGACTAGAAAATTCAGGGAGAATGGTTTATGCCCAGGCAACAAGGAGGCCAACAGGAGGAGGAGAAGATGGAAAAATAATTAAAAGAGACATCGAGGGAATGCAGAGAGTACAGCAAAGGGCCCTCCCCAACACAATGGGGAAATCAGTGCACACCGCGAGAACAGGCTACAAGATTGACCTAAGCAGCAAGAAAAGGTTAATTTGTGCTCTATACGCTGTTTTAATAATCAGGGAAATAGGAAACGGATTTTAGAAAAGCACTAATAGAAATAGCTCAAGTAAAAAAAAAATCGTGCTGCAAAAGCTTCTGTTATTTAGAAAACGCACTTCATGGGGAAAAGTTCATTCACCAGGATGACGCCTACAATGTGTGATAGCTGCCGTGTCTGATTTCAGAGGAGAGGGGCTGGTCTACACCGGCTCCTGCACCCAAGACAAGCCTCCCTCCCTCAAAGTCAGCAACCTGTTGTCCCCCTTTGTCAGCTGGAGGAGACCTAGCTGCCCCGTGATTGCTGGAGTCTGGGGGCTGCTCTGGTTCAAAAAGTGACATTGAGCTGGCTTTCATCTGGAGGCCACAGACTGCCCTCTTGGCAGTTCCTTCAAAAATCCTGGTGGAAAAAGAGAACAGTCACTGCTAGGCACAGAATGAGTCAGTGCTAAACGTGCTCCTTACCTGTCCCTTATGATGACTTCACCACAGGACTGGCAATAAAACGTGCAACATTCTTGGGCTTGTAAGCTTTGATTAAACACTGAAATCAGTTCTAGAGGAATCAAGGAAACAGCACGTCTTAAGAGGTTTGGGGTAAATATATTGACATACTTAAAGAGTTTAATAGCCGCAATAAATTATCACCAATAAACACTGTTTATGATCTACCCAGAAGTACATATTTAATTAGTATTAACTGATGATTCAACACCAAGCAAATATTGGGAATGTTTTTTAAAAAACACCAGATTCTGCTACATGTTTCACAGCTAGGTATTGCCCTAAAAACTGTGTATGCAACATACCACCGAGCTATCTCCCTCATTCTAGAAATACCAACACTAAAGAAGTGAAAGAAGGAGCTATTTCTTCCACACAGCTTCTCCTTCCTCAGCTATCTTCTGCTAGACTTAGGGACAGTTTTTCATCACTGAGACTGCTGGTAAACAGAGTTCTTAAATTTAATTCGATTTAAACAAAGCTGATGTCCGGTCTGGATCATATCAGTCTGTACAAACAATATCAATCTTGAAATTGGTCTTTATTGGGCAGGTCTCTGGGAATGAAATAGCTCCTAAGAACAGTTCCATCTTACAAGAGCAAAACTCAATTTCTGATTAAAGCTGTGGGAAAACAAATATTTCCCATAGTATATGAAAGAGCAATGTAAGACAGAATGTTCCCTTAGTTTCTGTTATTTCATTCACAAAGAAAGGAAACTTTCATTTCCAAAAAAACTCCAAAGAACAAAAAACCCAATCCACAAAAATATCTATTAAAAAAGTCTGGGGCGTCCCTGGTAGTCCAATGGTTAAGAATCCTCCTGCCAATGCAGGGGACAGGGGTTCAATCCCTGGTCTGGGAAGATGCTACATGCCACGGGGCAACTGAGCTCGTGTGCCTAGATTCCGTGCTCTGCAACACCACAGTGAGAAGCCCACACACCACAACTAGAGAGTAGACCCAGCTTGCTGCAACTGGAGAAAGTCTGCAAGCAGCAATGAAGACTCCGCACAGCCAAAAATAAATAAAATAAAAAATAAATTTTAAAAAATCAGATTAAAAAAAAGTCTGAAGAAATGAGGTTATATCCATTAGAATCAGGCCATTTGAATTTTGTTATGTTACTTTGTATCTTAAGATCTTTTTAAAAACATCTATGTTTTTAAAGTTGGAAAGTTTAAGCCTTGAGAGTTAAAAATTCTTCTATTTAATTTCTAAGACTGCCCTGTAGCACTAAGGTGAAGCTAACAGTATTCTTTAACTCTGAGCAGAAAATGAGACACCCCAGATTTTCTTTTCAGGACGGATAAACAAATTTTCAACGACACACTGCCCTCTGCTGCTCACCCATCAGGATGCAGGCTCAGGTTCAAGTCAGAACCTTCTGATACACGGGCATCCTGGGAAGCACTGCTGCCTGGGGATGAATCCAATGCTGATGCTACATCAAATTTTACTGCAGCCAGTTCCAGGTCAAGGGTCACGTCTGAACTACGTGTTCAGAACAGTGTAACAATATGTCTACTGTAGTCCTTAAAAGGGCATTCTTATAGTTGAAAAGTTTACTTTGCAAAAATTTCGAAACATAAGATTGAATCCTAAAACTGTTTGCTTCCTACCACCGATTTCTATTTACATTTACAATAGTATGCACCTATCTGATATTTTGTACCTATCTAATATTTATTTGTTCAGCAAAGGTTTATTCACCACCTATTATGTGGAAAGCACTAAAGCAATTAAGCACTGAGGAATCCATTTTGCATACCCCTTCATGCACTTCAGAAAAGGACTTTGAATGTTTTTCCTTTTCAGATGGTTAAGCAAAATATGTGTTAAAAATGTAAAGAAACTGGAGACCCAAACAATATGCAAACCAACACACAGTAGCCAATTCATTGTGTCTGACAGTTAAAACCAAACAATAATGTTTGCTTATTTAAATTAAAAAAAAAACCAGTTCAAGTTTTGCTATTTGTCTAATAACTGTTACAGAATATGCATAGGCAACAAACTAATTCTGTCTCTGGAAGGCTTCCATGCCTCCTCTGTATGGGAACTAAAATCATGGCCCCAGAAAACCAGCAGCAGATTTGGAAACACTCCACTGTGGCTTTTACGGCTGCCTGTCCCCAGTTTCCAGATGTGACCCCGATTCCTGCAGCGGTTACTGTTCATCATCGCTAAAGAAAGGCGAGGATGTCACAGGAGTCAGACTCCCAAGGCCTCTTTCCTGAAATCACCTCCCCCGCCCATCATTAGGTACCCTCAGAGCGTCTGTTAGCCTCCGTCCCATCTGGAAGGCATCCTTCCTCCCATGGTGTTCCAACAGTCCTTCCTGGGCTTCTCCTACGCCACCTCAGCTCCAGGACAGTTCTTTCCTAGACCAACCCTGCTCAACTCAGACTGATTTCTCACTCATTCAGGACTTGACAAAAAATCACTCTCCAGCAAAAAAGAAGCGAAACTCCCTCTACTTCTCTTTCCTTTCAAAAGCCAGGACAGAGGCTCCAGGAATGCCTGACATCTCCCAAAGAGCTCTTGGTTACAATCTTGCGGACTTCGCCTCAGGGCTCTGAGCAGCTCAGATGAAAGGCTTCATATCCACGAGGCAACAGAGAAATCACAAATGCAGCTGTTAAGAACTTTAATCCTTCTTGGAGAATGAGCATCACAGCCATTTGTTACAGCCTCCATTTGCCCTTTTTACATCATTTTCAATCCTCTGAAGCACAGTACTCACATGGCGAGAGAGGAAATGTACCAATAAGGTCATTAAATTATTTTCAGAAACATTCCTACGGTCTTACTGAAACCATATGCCAATAACAGAATACTGTAAATCTAACAGGTATAACAACAATCAAAGTCAAATGACGTATCAAACTTCATTTCAGAATCTTTCTACTGGGCTGGCCAAAAACTTCGCTTGGGTTTCCCCCTAACATCTTCCGGAAAAATGTGAAAGAACTCTTTGGCCAACCCAAGGTCCTGCTCTCTCTAGTTGGAAATATCCCTACATGAATGGGATCATTCCCATCATTGCATTCTCTGGTCAAACATCACTCTCAGAGTGACCTTCCCTGACTCTCATCTGCCCCTAGTCAGGCCCTATCCCGTTATTCTGCTTTACCGTGCCCACGGAACTTCAGTCTGTATCCAAGTAACTTGTGGGTTCCATATCCATCTCCATCATTAGAACGTAAGCCCCCTGAGGGCAGAGCTCTGCAAGCTTACATACTTCTCTACCCCAGCACCTAGATCAACGAGCTCATACTTGCTGGATGAACGGACGCCTTCCTATAAGGCTTTAAAATCAACCACCTCTGGCACACTCGCCATCTGACTTCATCTCTCCACCAACTCTGTGAGCCAGGTTATTTTACAGTTAAAGAAACAATGCAGGGAGGACATGGAAAAACCTCTGTACCTTCTGCTTCGTTGTGCTGTGAGCCTAAAACTGCTCTTAAAAAATGCAGTCTCACAAATGTACAGAACAGACTTTTCGACTCTGTGGGAGAAGGCGAGGGTGGGATGTTTCAAGAGAACAGCATCAAAACATGTATATTATCTAGGGTGAAACAGATCACCAGCCCACGCTGGATGCATGAGACAAGTGCTCGGGCCTGGTGCACTGGGAAGACCTAGAGGGAGCGGGAAGAGAGGGAGGTGGGAGGGGAGATCGGGATGGGGAATACATGTAAATCCATGGCTAATTCAAGTCAGTGTATGACAAAACCCACTACAATATTGTAATTAGCCTCCAACTAATAAAAAAAAGAGAGAGAAAAAAAATGCAGTCTCTTAGGAAAAAGAGAAAAAAAAAAACCTCTTAAAAAAGCCTGAAAGAAACAAAATGACCTGTTCAACTGCATGCAGTTAATAATGAGCAGAGTTGGCAAAAAAAACATCTTTTGGACCCTCAGCTTTTTCCATGCAGCTGATGAGCGTGATCCCTTCACTTGGGAAAAGTTCAACTTTTCAAAAAACAGACAAAAAAAAAATCACCTTTGATTTATAATGAAAAAGCAGATGCAGAGAACGAAAGGCCAGCACTACTCACCCGGGCGGCACTCGGCCCGCGCCTGCAGCCGCAGGTGCAGCCCGTCCCCGGGCACGTGTCGCAGCCCGCGGCAGGAGGACGGCGCGAGCCTGACCCCTGCCGGCAGCCGGAGCTCCGTGCAGCCGCCGGGGCCCTGCATCCGGAGCGAGGACGGCGTTACCGAAACATCCATGGGCAGACCTCCTTCCGCGGAATCCCTGGGAATCAGAAATAACAGGCGAGAGATGATTTCACACGGATGAAAACCAGATGATGAAAGAAACGAAAATGGCCAAGGGGCCCTCTGTTCTTCAATCAGGGCCCTGAGTCTGGTCACTGTCCCAGGAAAAAAAACAGCAGTGAACCTGTCATAAAAGAAACGGATCTATTAATGAGGTCAGAGTGCTTACTTCTGTCAATGTAACATTAAAGTTCACAGACATATTTTTCATTCTTTTCATTTCTTTTTTTTAATGTTAACCATGCATTTAAAGCATGCACTTTTTTCCCTTGCTAATGATCCTGAGTGCCAGTCTGTCCTCCAGCCCTGGGCTTCCTTCGGTACTGAAGCGTGGACACTGCCCCCTGGCCGCCCCCAGCCATTCTGCTGCACCGCAGGCTACTTCCTTTCCTTCCACCCCCTCTCCTGTCTCACCAGCCTCTCCGACTTCAGCTTCTGTGAACCTGCACAATGGAAAGCTGGTCGGTAAGACATTACTCCCTAGTTCATCAAAGTACTTCTGGCCAGAAAATTCAATAAGGCTGCCTAAGACAGTGGCTTATTCACCTTTCCTTCCCTTGACCCTAGTGTGGTTTGGACATTTATTCACTCACTCAGCACCCCTTTTTTCACCCCATTTTTTCTGCAATGTGCTAGGCACTGGGAATAGGACAAGGACTAACGGCATTTTCTCCGTACGCTGCCCCAACCCCAAGGAGGGCACAGGCAAGAAAAACAGCAATGATTAAGGGAGCATTAAAATGACGTCGCACTTATTCATGATAAACCCAGGGGACTATGGAAGCAGTGGAGAGAGGCAGGGACTATCCCAGGCCTAACCACTAAATAAATGTTATGTGAATAATGGACGGATGAGTCAGTGACATTTTGTTTCTGAGACCAGCATTTCAATGATGTATTATGTTGTTTACACAAAATTAGGGTAAAGCGTTGGTATTTGACGTATGGGATTTTTGATAAGGCGGCCAGGATTTCATAAAACAAAAGGCACAGGAGAGAAAAACTCTTGTCGATTTTAAAAATTAAAAAAAAAGAACGAAGAGAACAATCTAGTGATGTATGAATACCAGGCAAGGAAGGATCCAACCCACTACAAACACAGATCACTTGGTATAGTCAACAGAGTAAAACACAGCTGCTGTCTACCAGGAACCAAAAGTACAGAAGGAGCTGAAGACATACAGAAATGATCCCCCTGTGAAGCTGGAATACGCTTAGCATCGCACCAGAGGAGCAGAGCACGTGGATCCCCTTACGTGCTCAGCAGCAGGCCATTGGCTCCGTGTCACTGAAGTGCAGAAGCCACCCGCCTGAACGTCATCCAAGTAGAGAGGTCACACCCTGGGTCCAGGTGTGAATCTTGGCCAGGCTTCCCATTTTGCCTTGGAAAAACGTAAGATTGTTTTATGGCTAGTTCCTTTTCAAAGCATGTGGACCTGTGCTTAGTTGGCAATACAGAATCAAGAACTGGAGCCTTGGGAATTCCCTGGCAGTCCAGTGGTTAGGACTCTGAGCTTTTGCTGCCAAGGGCGAGGGTCCATTCCCTAGTCAGATCCTGCACACTGCTTGGTGAGGTCAAGAATTTTAAAAAGAAATTTAAAAAGAAATGATTAAAAAAAAAAACCCAAAAAACAAAAAACTGAGTCTTTTCCAGGGAAGACAATCTCAAACTTAGTCAAAAGTCTAGTCTTCAGAAATAATGTTTAAGAAATAATAATCCTCTAAAGCAGATGTCAGAAAACTTTCTATATTAAAGGCCAGATGGTGAATATTCAGGTTTTATAGATCATATATGGTCTCTGAGGCACAGTCTCCTTTTTTTTTTCTAAACAACCCTTTAAAAAATATAAAGTCCATTCTTAGCTCACAGGCTGTTCCAAAACAGGCCATTGATTAGATCTGGCTCATGGGCCATGTTTGCCAACCACGGCTCTGTAGACACAATTTGTCCAGTTGGTTACCTCAGTGACTTTCAAGCTGGACCGTGCAGTTTGCACGTGGAAGTGTCTCAGAGGAAACCACCAGGTTCCCAGGTCTCTGGTCCCCGCTCCCTTTCCTGAAAAATTCAGTTACAGAGGGCAGAGAAAGGTGGGCATCTTCACAAGGGTGGGAGCAGCTCGGCCGCCTGGGGCAGATGTGAGAAGCCCAGCAGGAGGAGGAAAGCAGCGGCCAGGAGGGCCGCCCGGCAAGGGTGCCCCGTCTCACTGCGGAGATTCTGAGCCCGGCTTAGTCTGCTCAGGTCGCCATAACAACACACCACAGAATGGACGGCTTCAACAGCGTTTATTTCTTACAGTTCCAGAGTCTGGGAAGTTCAAGATGGAGAACTGACAGAGTCCGCTGTCTTGGCCTTCTGTCTCCTCATCTGGCAGGGATAGGAAGCGCTGGGGTGTCTTCCTCTAAGGATACGAATCCCCTCATAGCGGCTCCACCCTCAAGAGCTCATTGAAAACTAATTACTTCCCACAGGCCCCATCTCCTAATACTCTGGCATTGGGATTTAGGGCTTCAGCATATGAATTCTGAGGGAACCAAACCTTCCGTCCATAACAGAGCCAGGCAGATGAGCTGGTGTCAACAAAGAGTGGAGTGAAGGGAAGGAGGAAAGAGTGCCAGTGGAAAACTCGCTGCCCAGAGTGAAACTGGCCGAGTGTACTAATACCTGGGACGAGGATGGTGGAAGCCAGGATTCATGGGAGAACAAAGAGGGGAAGGGAGAAAACCACAGTGGAGCCTATGGCAGTAGACTAGAATCTGAAATACTTGGGTGAAGTCATGATGTCCAATGCATATATTAGGGTAGTGCAAAAGCACCTGCACTTTTGCAGTGCTAAAATTTGCTATTTGATATTGGATTACATTCTAAATAAATGTGATTGTTATATATCATTTTAACGCACATTTCTCTATTTTTTTTGCCAATGATTTATTACTTGCTATTTATTTTACATTTATATGAGACTATGGAAATGATGCTAGAGAAAAAGCAAATTCCAGCAATTTTCTTATTTGAGTTCAAAATGGGTTGTAAAGCAGTGGAAACAACTTGCAACATGAACAACACATTTGGCCCAGGAACTGCTCATGATCGTGCAGTGTACTGGTGGTTCAAGAAGTTTTGCAAAGGAGACGAGCCTTGAAGATGAGGAGCGCAGTGGCTGGACATCAGAAGCTGACAACAACCAGCTGAGAGCATCATCGAAATCGATCCTCTTACAACCTCAGGAGAAGTTGCTGAACAACTCAACATCAGCCATTCTACAGTCGTTCGGCATTTGAAGCAAACTGGAAAAGTGAAAAAGCTTGATAAGTGGGTGCCTCACGAGCTGACCAAACATCAAAAAATCATCCTTTTGAAGTGTCGTCTTATTCTACACAATGAACCATTTCTCCATTGGATTGTGACATGCAGCAAAAAAATGGATCTTATACAACTGGTGATGACCAGCTCAATGGCTGGATGGAGAAGAAACTACAAAGCACTTTCCAAAGCCAAACATGCACTAAAAAAAGGTAGTGGTCACCACTGTTTGATGGTCTGCTGCCTGTTTGAGCCACTACAGCTTTCTGAGTCCTGGTGAAACCATTACATCTGAGAACTCTGCTCAGCAAACTGATGTGATGCCTGCAAAAGGGAGCGGTCAGCAGAAAGGGCCCCATTCTTCTCCACAACAAGGCCTGACTGCACATCGCACAATCAACGCTTCAAAAGTTGAATGGATTGCTCTACAAAGTTTTGCCTCATCTGCCATATTCGTGCAGGCTCTTGCCAACACCAACTACCACTTCTTCAAGCATCTCAACAACTTTTTGCAGGGCAAATGCTTCCACAACGAGCAGGAGGCAGAAAATGCTTTCCAAGAGTGTGTTCAATCCCCAAGCACAGATTCTTATGCTACAGGAATAAACAAACTTATTTCTCATTGGTAAAAATGTATTGATTGTAATGATTCCTATTTTGATTAATCAATATGTGCTTGAGCCTAGTTATAGGGTTTCCCTGGTCGTTCAGCTGGTAAAGAATCCACCTGCAATGCAGGAGTCTCTGGTTTGATTCCTGGGTCAGGAAGATCCACTGGAGAAGGAAAATGCTACCCACTCCAGTATTCTTGGGCTTCCCTCGTGACTCAGCTGGTAAAGGGTCTGCCTGCAATGCAGGAGACCTGGCTTTGATCCCTTGGTTGAGAAGATCCCCTGGAGAAGAGAATGGCTACCCACTCCAGTATTCTGGCCTGGATAATTCCACGGACCATATAGTCCATGGGGTCACAAAGAATCAGACACTACTGAGCAACTTGATACAAAATTCATAGTCCAAAACCAAAATTACGTTTGCACCAATGTAATAAGTAAAGTTAATAAATATAGGTGTATTATGATATATTTACAAACACACATATACATGATACATATGCCATACACAGACTAGTTCTGTCTACTAGAGGCAGAAGTGACACTCCAATAGTAATGCGCACACTCTGTACCCAGATCTTGGTTTCTAAAGGTCATTTTCCACTTAAAAGCAAATGAAAAAAGATAAGAAACAAAACAGCATTCCTTGGAAAAAATAACTACATCCAAGGTTGGGGCAAGAAGAGAACGAGATGAGCCTGAGCCTGGAATATCTTACTGTGCAACTAAGTAAAGAAGAAATCAAAGAATATAAAAAGCACAAGCAAAGAAACAGAAATCATCTTGAAGGGACTTCCCTGGCCACATCTGGTGGTAATTTGAGAAAAAAGTAACCCACTAAATGAAACAGAATTATGGGTACATACTGATATGGGTGTGAATAAATGAGTGACTATACTTCAACTAAAAATAATAATCAATCCATCAGTCAATGAATAAAATAAAAGTATGATGAGGAACAGGGCATTTCCATACTCTCAGAGAAGCTCTCCAATGAATACTTATTGATAATGAAAAGAAATGGTGAAGAAGCCTGGCAAATACCACCTCATTTAAGTTCTCAAAGTTAACATGAACTTTAATTGAACAAATCAAAATCATGTGTCACCTGATAGGATGCAATGAGAACACAGCATCAATTCTGTGATATTCCTGCCAAAGATGCATAACCTGAACCTAATCTTGAGAAAACATAAGACAAAACCAAATGGAGGGATATTCTACAAAATAATTGGGCTGGAATCTTCAAAGCTGTCAGTAGCATTAGAGTCAAGGAAAACCAAGGACCTCTTCTAGACAGAAAAAGATGAAGAAAACATGAGGATGCAGTGCATCACTCTGAACTGGATTCCTTCGCTATTAAGGATATTACATAAACAACTGGAAACACCTGAATAAGGTCAGAGTATAAGACGGCAGTAACACATTTCCCAGTTTTGAGAGTTGCATCCTGGTTGTGTAGGAGAATGTTCTCATTTGTAGGAAAATTCAGAGTAAAAAAATATTCAAGAGTGACAGCAACTTACCCTCAAGTTCATGATTGTTTCAAAACAAAGTTTTTGAGACCCTAATTGCCCACACTTTTTACATGTGAGGCTTTTGTCACTATTCTCTTGTTTTTCCAGAAACTGCTTGAAACTATCTAATGACTTCACATCTCACTGAGTCCAAGTTAGGGTCCTTTCAAGGGTCTCTAAGACCCAGTGATATACTAGACCCAGTTGTTAAAATTCCAGGTATTACGCAAACCAACTGACCTTACTTTGGTAGTTTGACATCATCTACGGTGAAAGTATTTACACCTCAGGAATCAATAAACGCTGCAGATCAGGAAGGATTTTTGTTTGGTTGGTTGGTTTTCCTGGAGAGTAGGTCATTTCCTGGTGGTCATTTCCATTTCCTGGAGAGAGCATTTACTGTGTGCTCCACCAGCCCACCCACATCTCTCTGAACCAAGCACTTCTTCCTATTTCTGTTCTCTCAGAGGATGACAGTCTCTCACTGGGTATCATACAGTTCCAAACATCACCCCTTTCAGTTTATTGCTCCAACGTTAGTTTTTCATTTGGAATAAAGGGTTGAAATTTTTTTTCCCTATCCCTTTTTCTGTTTTACTTTTTCTAAAGCCTTGTGTGTTTATTTGTGTGTTTTTGGCCCACCTCTTGCCACCATTAGACTGTAAGCTCATTGAGAGCAAATACTTTCATCTTTGCTGTATTTTCATCTAGCTGTATACCTCACACCTTGAATCTTAGGTTGGGCCCTAGAATAGGAACTCTGTCAACATCTGTGGATTTAATGAATGAATGGCCAAGGCTTATCCCAGGAATGCTAAGATGGTTTAACATAAACAGATTTTTTTAATGCAATTCACAGATGTAAAGAATAAAGGGGAAAAAATATGACCATCACAATACGTGCAGAAATCATTATAGAAAACACAATATTCATGATGAAAACCTTGAGTGAAGTAGGAACAGAAAGGAACTATGCAATGTACCAAACAGACTTCCAAAAAGTCAAAATTATCACACCTGATGATGAGATGCTAGAAACACTTCTTTTAGGATTATGAAAAGAATAAAAATCATATCATTTACACTAACTGTAAATAGATAAAAAAATTCCAATTAAAATAAAGAGATTGTCATAGTGGAATTTTTTTAAACTCCACTTAGTACTAGTTTTTAAAATTTTACATATAAAGACACAGGCTGAGAGTAAAAGGATGAAAAAGACATAACATGAAAACAGTGTAGTCGGCTGATTTCTGACAAAGATACTGAGTTATTTTAATGAAAAAAATGACAGCCATTTAATTAATGGTGATGGAACAACCAGAGATAGCCTTAAAAAAAAAGAAACTTTGACACCTACCGGATGCCAAATGCAAAAATTAATTTGACGTGATCACAGACCTAAATGTAAAAGGTAAAATAATGTAATTCCTAGGAAATAGACACAGGAAAAAGTCTTACGACTTGGAGGTAGGCAAAGATTTCTTAGGACACAAAAAACACTAACCATTAAAGAAAAAAGATGCAGTAAACTGGACTTCATTATAATTAGGACTTTCTGTTCATCAAAAGACACTATTAAGAAAATTAAAAGATACATTACAGACAGGGAGGGAATATTCTCATACTCACAGGCACAAATGAAAAAGATCTTGTTTCCAGACTATACAAAGAACTCTTTAAATTCAACAATAAGACAACCTGACTTTAGAAGACACTTGACAAAAGAACATCTATGAATGACCAAAAAACAAATGAAAAGGTGCCCAATATTATTAATCAAGGAAATACAAATTAAAATGACAATGAAATACTACTCTAATCCACTAGAATAGCTAAAATCCAAAACTGACAACACTAAATGCAGACAAGAAAGTAAATTTGTTGGAATTCATTTTTTTTCTGGTTAGAGTATAAACTGGTATAAACAGCTTTGGAGAATAGTTTCCCATTAAGTAAAGCCATCTAGATGGTGCTAGTTATAAACAATCTGCCTGCCAATGCAGGAGACACAAGAGATGTGGATTTGATCCCTGGAGTAGGAAATGGCAACCCGCTCCAGTATTCCTGCCTGAAAAGCTCCATGGGCAGAAGGGCCTGGTGGGCTACAATCAATGGGGCCACAAAGAGTCAGACACGGCTGAACACGTACCCTATGACCCAGCACAAATACTTTTACAACAATGTACAAGTTTTATTCATAGTAAGCTGGCTTTAGAAACACACAAAATATCCAGCAATAGAAGAATGGATAATGAATTGTCATATATTCATACAGTGAAAAACTATCTGGCAGGAAAAAAATGGACTATTGATACATGTGATAACATATTAATAGATGAAACATGAATCTCAGAAACACAGTAAAAAAAAAGAAACCAGAAACAAACAAGTATGTATAAGTCAAGAAATGGCAAAATGATCTTTCCTGAATGAAATTAGAATAATGGTTACTTTTTGGGTTGGGGCAATTGACTGGTGATAAAGCTCAACAGTTAAAGACCACCAGGGACAAAGCAGGAGTCCAGCAAAATTAGGTTTCTTAACTAGCTTAAAGAAGGGAGAGTTATCCAGGGGAACCATGAAAGGTCCCTTTGATGAGGGGAAGTAAGGATGTTGTCTTGTTGCCTTTTGCCTAAGGTTTTGGGCTCAGAATAACTTCACAAGGTGAATTTGAATTGGACATGAAGCACTTATTTGAATTCATGATTTGAGAAAGGGAGAGGGAAGACACACAGCAGAAAGAGAGAAAGAAAAAAATCCCTATTTTACAATAGAAAAAAATCAAATTAAAGGATTCCACTCTGGTGAAGAAGTTAGGATTGAATCCAGTTCTGCCAAATCCAAAACCACTACACCAGGTACCTGGCTGGTTTTAGGAAAAGAGAAGGCTAAACATCAGAGCGAAGTCTACCTCTAGAGTGATTCTGTGCAATAAACTTTTTAGGATTTTAGCATCTAACTCACTCTACTTGAAACAGTGGTCACAAGGGAACAGTCGAGGTACCATACACTACCAAACAAAAAAGAAACACTTTTCCTGAAAGTTTTTTGTCTGTGTAATGAACAGCAAGTTAAACCTTCGCAGATTTCCCCTTGGAATTAAGAATATGAAAGAATGAGCTCCAATAAGAAGCCTGCAATCTTTTCTAGCTGTTCACTGAACACACATTTATTGAACGGGTGCGTGCGTTCCTCTGCATTGAGAACGGCTTGTGCAGAAACCAAAACAACAACAAGAGGAGTATATTTACAAAACAGGAAATTCTCATATTAGAACAGATAACGAGGATCCCCAAGGGGCAACGCGTTTTTTGCATTGTTTTGTTGGAAGCACGGGGCACTGTCAAAAGTGTTGCACATTAGGGATCCTCAAACTTTAATGTGCATCTGAATCTGGGAATCGTGAAGTTTCCGTTCAGTAGGTCTGCTGTGGGGTTGAGACCATGCATTTCTAGAAAGCCCCCCGGGTGATGCCGAGATCGCCAGCCGGGAAGAAGGTGAGGGGGGGTGGGGAACCGGGGGCGCGCGGTGTGGAGAGGCTACTCCACTTTGAGGAACCCAGAGGCTCGCTCTAAGCAAGTGGAAAAAAAGAAATTCAAAACCCTATCTTTCCGAGGGAGGCGGAGCCGGCCGGGGAGGCGGCAAACCGGGCTCGGCTGCGCCTGGGAGCCCAGACTCCATCGCCCGCCTTACCCCAGGATCAGCAGCGCGCTCTGCAGCCGTCTCCGCACCTCCAGGAACACGCGCGCCTCCGCCGCAACCGCCGCCATTCGGACGCTCAGCTGGGAGCTCTGGAGACCCGACCACCGGGGCCGGAAAGCGGCTGCACGTGCGGCTCGAGCAGGAACCGCGGCGGCGGCGGTGGCGGCGGCGCGGGCCTCCAGGACCCGGAGCTCGGGTGCCCGCCAGCCCACAGCGCCACCTGCCGGGCGGAGAGCGCGCCGCCGCGAAGATTCCATCAGGGAGCGCGAGCGCTTTCAAAGCCGGCCTTTTGGGTCAGAGGTCAGAGAAAGATGGGCACGGGGAAGCCAAACCGTTCTCCCACTCCGCTTCTTAAGGGCGCGACTTGATGCACCAGGCTCCCTGGAAATGACCCTCAAAGCCGGACCCCAGAACACTGCTTTGGTTAGCTTGGGGAGAGATGAGACTGGACGAGAGGGGTCTGTATAGGCAAGCATTTATCCCCAGCAGGGTCTAGAGCCCAATTCCCCACCCCAAGCACACTTTATCTTGGCTTTGTTTTTATTTTAATGAACTAAAGTCTCTTTGGTTTTTGGTTCTGTTTTCATAAATCCTGGTCTGTGTTTGATAGTTCTCCTCTGTCTTGAGGCAACAAATGTCCAGGACTGACTTAGCTGCAGCTTTCCAGTTTAGACCAGATGGCTCCAGAATGAAAAGGGTTGCAAAAATGTGCGAAGTTCTTTGTTGTCTATGCCTAAGAGTGTGGTTAAGTTCGGTATCATGAGGCACAGGATTATTATTCCCATAATTATTATGATGCATAGTGACAAATAGCCTGTGTTTTTTGTTTCTGCTGTTTTATTTTTGATTGGAGTATAATTACTTTATAACGTTGTGTTAGTTTCTGGTGAACAACAACCTGAATCAGCTATATATGTGTATGTATATGTATATACATACATGTACATATACATACATGTATGGCTATGTATGTATGTGTATGTACATATACATATATGCATAGCTATATATGTATACATACATATCTATGTATATATGTATATTATGTACATATATATATATATATATATATATATATATATATATATCTCCCCTCCCTCTTGAGTCTTCCCCCAGTCCTACCCCTCTCAGTCATAACAGAGAACTGAGCCGAGTTCCCGGTGCCATACAGCCTCTTCCCACTAGCTATCTGTTTTACACGTGTATTGTATACCATCAGAAATAAGATAGCATATATATGTGTGTGTGTGTGTGTTATTGGTTCAGTCACGTCCGACTCTTTGCGACCCCACAAAATAGACATGCATGTGTGTGTGCTCAGTGGCTTAAGTCATGTCCGGCTCTGTGTGACCCTATGGAGTGTAGCCTGCCAGGCTCCTCTGTCCATGGGATTCTCCAAGACAAGAATACTGGAATGGGTTGCCACACTCTCCTCCAGGGGGTCTTCCTGAACTAGGGATCGAACGCATGGCGTCTCCTGTGTCTTTTGTATTGCAGGAGGATTCTTTACCACTAAGCCACGCGGGAGGAGAAGGGAATGGCAACCCACTCCAGTGTTCTCTTGCCTAGAGAATCCCAGGGATGGGGGAGCCTGGTGGGCTGCTGTCTATGGGGTCTCACAGAGTCGGACACGACTGACGTGACTTAGCAGCAGCAGCAGCAGCAGCACCCGGGAAGCCCCATACACACACACACACACACACACACACACACATTAACATCATATGTGCTGTGCTTAGTCGCGTCTGACTCGGGACCCCATCGACTGTAGCCCACCAGACACCTCTGTCCATTGGGATTCTCCAGGCAAGAATACTGGACTAGGTTGCCATGCCCTCCTCCAGGGGATCTTCCCAACCCAGGCATCGAACCCTGGTCTCCCTCATTGCGAGCGGATTCTTTACCACCTGAGCCACCAGGGAAACCCAAGAATACTGGGGTAAGGTAGCCTATCCCTTCTCCAGGAGATCTTCCCGACCCAGGAATTGAAGTAGGGTCTCCTGCATTGCAGGCGGATTCTTTACCAGCTGAGCTACCAGGGAAGCCCATAGACGGCAGCCCACCGGGATCCCCCATCCCTGGGATTCTCCAGGCAAGAACACTGGAGTGGGTTGCCATTGCCTTCTCCCTCATATCCCTAAAGATACTATTTTAAGACTTTTTTTCCTAAAATCCATATTTGGAGTTAATAAAGTTTATTGTTTTGCCTCACAAATTCCTGCATCCATCAGAATAATTCAAAATCGTGGATGAAGGTAACAGCACAGTTAAAAGACAATTACTGCTATTTCATCTCAATGGTGACAAAAGATGATGGTTTTGATGGAAGAAAATGTCACATATTAAGAAACAAGGTGGCTTATACATGATTTAACTGGAACTTTAGGCTAACCAAAACAGCTTATTTGTGGCCTATTAAATATGCACTGGAGATATCCCTGACGGCCCAGTCATGCTTCCACTGCAGTGAGCACGGGTTCAATCCCTGGTCAGGGAACTAAGATCCCAAGTGCTGCCTGGTACAGCCAAAATAAAAAAAAAAAAAGAAAAAGGCATCATACATCTACTTTAACCATTAAAGAAAAAAAAGCATTAAAAATTTGAGTATCTGTATTCAGACATTCCAAATGGAGCCAGGTGACCACCATGGACATGGCTTCAGACACGTGCTTGTATTACTGAGAAATTTTCTGAACTGTATCCCATCCAAAGACACCATGAGCCTTGCTGCTAGCAGCTGCCAGTTGCAAACCTATAGTCTCAAGGTCTCCTCTTGTAACTATGCAACCATTTCAGGCCTCAGTCAACCCTTACATAACAAGCACCCTTCTTGCCAGGTCCAATCCTAATTCTTGACAAATATCTTATGACTTTGGGGCCTTCTGCCTTAATAATCCACCCCCATTTTGCAGTCCAGTGGAACACAATTTAAGTGCTTCTTCAGTCTGTCTCTCCCAGGCTATGGTCATCAATTTGGCTTAAACAAAACTCTCTTCTCTTCCTAATGTATATGATATACTGATTTATTATTTCACTCCACTATTTTGGCTCCTCCTATCATCCATGTTTAATTTTCAAGGCTATTAAGTGCTTAAGGACTAACATATTATATTGAAATATGTAACATTCTTTCTTTTTCTTTTCTTTCTTTCTTTTTTTCTTGTGCACCGGGCCTCTTGCAGTATCTTAGTTCCCAGACCAGGGATTGAACTTGGATCACAGCAGTGAAGGTGCAGAATCCTAGGCAGTGTACCACCTGGGAATTCCCTATGTTACATTCTCAATGCAGCATTCTCTTCACAATTGATGTTTGATTATTTTTAAGAATTGTTATATTTGATATATAGTCACACATTTGCAAAAGAAACCATTTTTGACGCTACAATTTAGGCACCAGGGTGCATTTCTCCTTGTAACTACGTGATTCTCGAGTTCTAGAATCAGAATAGCTCCTAATGTGATAACAACTATTTGTTTTCTAACTTCCCAAGTCTTTTAACCTCTCTAGGTGTGGGGTTCTTCACATGAAATATGGAGGAATCAGTTAAACAATTTAAATAAATACTTAAGTCATTACTTGAAGAATATTTTAAAGCTATTTTCAACTCCTAGCATCCCTTCCATCTCTCCGCCCATCCTGATGAGGCTGGCACCGGCGAATTCAAAACACCGGCTACAGGTCTACTCCGTTCATTGGTGGCGATGGGCCGCTTCCGCGACAGTCCGCTTGAGGGCGCTGCGGAGACCGCGAGCGCCGGGAGGCGCGGAACGGACCGGGGGCGGGGATGGAGGGCCGCGGACGTCGACGCCGGCGTGGGCGCGGGCGCGGTGCACACTGGGAGCTGTCACTAGGCCGTCCGGCTCCCGACCTGCGTGTCGCTGCCGCGGTTGCCAGGAGAGCGGCGCCGGCAGGAGCGGCCGAGCCCCCAGGTAACAGCGTCCCCGCCCCGTCTCCCCAGCGCGGCTGTGAGGCTGCGGCCTGCGGCCCGGCGCGGCCTCCTCAGCCGGCCTCGTCCCTGAGCCGCTGGGACGCCGGTGGGTCCGGCTGCGGGAGCGTCGGGGGTGTTGCCGCCCGAGCCCCGCCTGGAAGCGGCGAAACCCGCCGGCCGCCCGCCCCGTGGTTTCCGTGAAGGCGGGACTGGCGGGCCGGGGCGGCGGCGCGAGGGCGGCCCCGGGGCCCCGGGCGTCGGGTGGCCGGGCCGAGCCTCCTGCGCAGGGGGCGCACGGTACGCGGGGTTGGGGCGGCGGTAGCACCTGTGTGAGCAGATCGCGCGGACTCACTTCTTTGTTGGAATCGAGGCATCATCATACTGTCTCGCATCTAGGGGGGTTCATGATTGAAGAAACGAGAATGCCCGCCCTGGTTAATAGTCCATGTGGGGGGTGGGGGCTGGAAAGGAGTGTAGAAGTTTATTAGAGGAAGTCACATTAGTCATAAGGAAGTTGTTAACAGGCATCACCTTTGATTCCCAAGCCTTTTAAAGTTGCACCATTACAATAGTCACTTGTTAGTTCTCCTTCGTTCTCACCTACCCAGGGGAGGGAAGGGGAGTACCTCACAACTACTCTTTTAAAGCCAAGTACATTGTGTTTTGGTTATTCCTACACTTCCATAGAGTTCTGTAGGGTTTAAGAAAGAAAGATGGGAAAAAATCTGGAGACTGTAAAGCAGTCAAAACATTTTTTTAAAATAAATACAGAAAGGATAGGAACTTAAGTTTTTGCCTGACAAGGAAGCCCTGAACTGTAGAAAGACAAAGATCTCTCAGTTTTGATGTTGTTGGCTGTCTTGATGTAGACATTATGTCTTGTGTTTTACTGTAGATTACACGTCAGTTTTATGTGCTAAGTCTTCACCTGATAAATAACGGTGATTTCCTTGAGCTGACAGAAGTTACAACTAAAGTGAATTAAAACCAGCTGTAGTACAAATGCTTTCTTTTAAAATGATTGCTTTCAGCTGCTCAGAACTAGATCATTCCCCGGAATTAGTAAACAGTTGCTGATTTCAGGGTGACCCTGATTATTAGGAGCCAGAGACTAGACTGTAAGAAGTAAAAATACCTAACTTAATACACAAACCTGGAAATGTAATAC